CCTCTGCCCCTTCCTTCTTCCCTATTCTCTCCTCCCTTTCTCTCTCTTCCTCCCTCCTTCTCTCCCTCTCTCTCTCCCCTCCTCTCCTCTTCCCTTTTCTCTCCCTTTCTCTCTCCTCCTCCCTCCCCTTTTCTCCCTTTCTCTCCTTCCTCCTCCCTTTCCCTTCTCCCCTCCCTTCCACCCCCACCCCTCACAGTAGACTCCGCCCTCTCCGCGCCCTCGCCTCTTACTTCTTCCCGGGATTGCTTCGTGTCGTTTCGAGCCTTTTAACGCTTGTTTCGAGAGCAAATAAAGCATGACTGATGTGCAAATGCAGGGAGATGAGGGAAGTTGGACAATCTGGGTAGAAAGTTGGCCGTTCGGTGCTTGTGTCGTCTGTACTCGGACTGAAGGGATTTTTATTATTTATTTTTCTTTCATTTTTTCGTCGTATTCTTTTTTTTTTGTTTTTTGTGTATTTTTTTTTTTTTTTTTTTTTTTTTGCTTCCTCTGTTTCTTGTTTTTTTTTTTTCTTTCTTCCTTCTTTCCTTTTTCTACTTTCTTTCTACTTATTTCTCTTTGTTTTTGCTTCCTCTGCTTCTTTTTATTTTCTTTTTCTTCTACTATTTTTCTTTCTTTCTTTCTTCTTCTTCTTTTCATTTTCTTCTTTTTTCTTCTTCCTGTCCTACCTCTTTTTGTTTGTTTTTCTTCTTTCTTTCATTTCTCCTTCTTTTTCTTCTACTTCCTCTTCTTCTTTTCCTTTTTTCTTTTTTTTTACTTCTTTACCACTTAGTTTTTTTTTTCTTCTACTGCTTCTTACTTTCTTCTTCTTCTATCATTCTGCTTATATTATGTGATAAAAAAAGTTAAGCTACATATGTTGAGATGCCATGTTTCGAATTTTTCAGGATATATATATACATTTTTTTTCCCATTTCAGAACTTTTGTCCGGTGGGAATTCTGGAAATTATTGAGATATCCGGGATTTCAACTTTCATAATCGTCAAAAAATGTACGAGAGTTTTTTTCTCGGTAGATTATGAAACTATTAGATAGGAAGAGAGGCATAGAGAGAGAGAGAGTGAGAGTGAGAGAGAGTGAGAGTGAGAGTGAGAGTGAGAGTGAGAGTGAGAGTGAGAGTGAGAGTGAGAGTGAGAGTGAGAGTGAGAGTGAGAGTGAGAGTGAGAGTGAGAGAGTGAGAGAGAGAGAGAGAGAGAGAGAGAGAGAGAGAGAAGAGGAGCAGAGAGAGGAGAGAGAGAGATTGAGAGTGAGAGAGAGAGAGGGAGAGAGAGATGGAGAGAGAGAGAGAGAGAGAGAGAGAAAGAAGAGAGAGAGAGAGAGACGAGAGAAGGAGAGGAGAAGGAGAGAGAGAAGCGGAAGAGAGAAGAGAGAGAAGAGAGAAGAGAGAAGAGAGAGGAGAGAGAGAGATAGATAGAGAAGAGAGAGAGAGAGAGAGAGAGATCATTATTATCAATGTCTTCTTTTCTTCTTGTTAGGTTCGGTTAGGTTATCAT